GGTCCGGGAGTCGTCATTTTCGATAGATGAGGCTCGTGGCGATGCGTCGCCCGTGTGACAAATTGGGGTTGGGCCATTTGACGGCAGACGGAGTGGAGGAGGATGGGGTGTGTGAGGGGGACGGTCGCAAATACAAATTAAACACTTTTAACTGTCAGCATTTTTTTTTGGTTCTGATCAAAAGCTTATGGGACTATCCCCAACAGGGCTGGCTTTTGAGGGGACTTCACTTAGGTCCACGTCTGCCGCGAAGAGCTTCGGCCAATTCGAGTACTCCAAACGCTTGTCCAACTCAATCACTACGGCCTTTTGCTCAGTTTCAGGGTGCTCTTCAAAATACCAGAAGGAACCATCCTTGTGCACTGGCTGCGCTAGTTCTCGGTCAAACAGGTCAGGCTCGTCTCCCAACCTCAGGCGAAGGTGGGTTTTGGTCGCAAGCTCGAAAACAATGTCAGCTTTAGTCACGGCCGGATCCACAGGCACCACGAGCTGTACCACATCTCGGCCTTGTCGCCAAAACGACCTTTCATGATGGCCGCGGTAATACACAACGTGCGTTGGTGGAGGTTCAATGAATTCCTCGTACGCCGCGAACGGATTAGGGCGCAGGGACGAGTTCTCATCACCTGCCGAGGTTTGTAGCTTGATAGGAGCAGGATCCACGTTTTCCCAATCCATAGCTACTGTATGCATGGACTGATCCATTGCAGCGTCTATAATCTCGTCCACATCGCTTTCTTCTGCTTGTGTTTGCGCCGGCGAGGGAGCTGATGGGGGCTGGCTGTCGACCGCGGCGAGACCTATCTCTCGATACGCAGGCCGGCGCCTATGCTCTGGTACAGATGAGCGCAAGTCAAATGATATTTGCACAGGGAGTAGGAAACCATCTACCAGAGACAAGAGCAAGACTAAAATCACAAGACAGGAAACTTTTGACGTGAAAGGTAATATGGATACTCCCATGGCGCTGGAGGATATTTGCGAGCTACTTTGACCCCCTGGCGAGGTCTGTTTTAGCAGATAATGAAGAAAAAAGAGGTGATAAATATCTTGATACTTATTGTGGCCTTAGGACACTTATTCGGGATCCACTGTGAAGATAAAAAGACTGTGGGAACCGAGTTGAAGCACTTCCGGGGTGTTCTCCGAAACGCTGCTTCGCTCAAGCCCTCCCGCAGTACCTGATACGTAATACTGTACAGAGGTCCAAAACTCGGTAATAGGGCCACAGAACCGGGCTCAGTCCATGCGCAGACATGAATAATTTGTATCGGAGCCACTCATCCTCACATTGCATCGTCTTGTCCTTCGTACAGGCGGTATCATTCATAATACTACGTTGCAGCCGGCCTTCCAAATGCTTTTTCGCAAGGTCACGGCGTACCTAGATGCAGTGACGGAGGCTTCCAGGCAGGAAGATGGCACCGCCTTGACGCACCTTTTCTCCTACGATTGCCTATCGCATGGTTTAGGGCATCAATTTGCTCGTATGGATGTCCGTCAGGCCATTCGTAACAACGCTGCAGTAAAGCGTGTCGCGCATGTTCCTGAGCTCCTGGAGCCCTTCTTGCGCGCTGCCGGATGTTTGGCGGATCAAGAGGTGGAGAAAGCCTTCGAGCACCATCGATCAGCTTTCGTTCTGGCGGGTGATTTATACAAAGACCTCCAGGAAGAGTGGCTCCTCAATCTAATGCGCAAGCTCGCGCGCGGCCTACGCCTCTTGGCGCAGAAAGTGGACAAGGAGAAGGTGCGATTCGATCCCATCATGAACGAGGCCGTCAAAGCCATCTCGGATAAGTTTCGGCTCTTCGGCACGGTCACAGCCAGTGGGCGTCGACGGGTGGCTCTGATGCTTGCGAACGAACAAATAATATGCTACCTGCAGCTGAACAATCCTCGGCAGTGCAAACCTTTGACGGACTGGGCGGACGCCCGGCACAAGCTCACGGACGATGACTTCACGTCCGGCGAGTTTGCTCAAGCGGATGCTGTCACATACCATTTCCTTCGGGCGCGCCTTTTTTTGCTCGACACGAATTACAAAGAAGCCGAGCGCTTCCTGACCTATGCGTTCCGACACTGCCCCGCTGCCGCTCACCGCAACAAGCGCACCATCCTCTCCTACATGGTGCCGGTGAAGCTCAACCTTGGTTTGCTGCCACGGGTAAGCCCAGCATGTTCTAGCCTGTTCTAGCCACCCCGTCCTCTCGCACCGTGGCGTAGTCTCTCATGTGCCCGCTTCCCCAACCCCACCCAGCGCGGCCTTCTCGAGCGCTTTCAGCTCAAAGAGTTTGAGGCGCTGGTGGCTGCTTTGCGCGATGGGGATTTCCGTCTGTATCAAGAGCAGCTTGACAAATATCAGGATGACTTTATTGCCCGCGGGGTTTATATCATATTGGAGAAGCTCAAGCTTTTCGTATACCGGAATTTCTTCAAA